GACTGACGGACTGACGGACTGACGGACTGACGGACTGACGGACTGACAGACTGAGACAGACTGACAGACTGACAGACTGACAGGCTGGATAACATTTCAATTACGTGACACAATAGACGTTCACAATAGAAGTTCACAATAATATCATAGATATATATCTGAATCTATTCCGAAGTTTAAGCATAACAATTCACTATGGCTTGGGCCTTGTCTCTCCTATATTCCAATACATGACTTCTCCATAGTACACATCCAGTCAAAGACGACCTTGAGCAGTCCGGTGCTCCGGCTCTGATTCGTGGGATGCACAGATGCATCGAAGCGCCTGGGATCTTCTCGATCTCCGCGCGGATCTGCGAAAAGCGCCTGCGATCGCTCGCAGCCTGAGCTCTTTGAAGGGCGGGAAGAGAGGACGAGTTGACAGTGGTATTGGCATTGGCGAAATCATGATTTTGCGAACAAGAAGCCCTGTACAAAGCAAACATGTTTTGGGTTTTCCAGCTTCTTCCTTCCAGATGTCGGTTGAAACGCCTGTGGTGCTTCTCAACACATTCTTTGAGGTTTCGAACTCAAGGGATCCAAAGGGCTCAAAAGCACTCCAACGAAGAAAAGTCTGATGGATACCCAAGTGATTTTGGTTTTTCCCCAGGTAGCGAAGCTATGGGGTTCTTACTCCAAATAACAATGAGTTGCCCGTGCGCGTTTTCGAGACAGGTTGCTGGTGCTGGGTGCCGGTGTTGGTGCTGGTGCTGAGCTGGCTGCGCACATGGTGGTGACAGGTTGCTGGTGCTGGTGCCGGGTGCTGGTGCTGGTGCTGGTGCTGTGAGCTGGCTGTGCACGTGGTGGAGACAGGTTGCTGGTGCCAGTGCTGGTGCTGGGTGCCGGGTGCCGCTGCTGGTGCTGGTGCTGTGAGCTGTCTGTGCACGTGGTGGAGACAGGTTGCTGGTGCTGGTGCTGGGTGCCGGGTGCCGGTGGGGGTGCTGGTGCTGTGAGCTGGCTGTGCAGGTGGAGACAGGTTGATGGTGCCGGTGCTGGTGCTGGGTGCCGGTGCTGGTGCTGGTGCTCTGTGCGCGTGGTGGAGACAGTTTGCTGGTGCTGATGTTGGGTGCCGGGTGGCGGTGCTTGTGCTGGCGCTGTGAGCTGGCTGTGCATGTGGTGGATGATGGGTGCCGGCTGCGCACGTGGTGGTGCCGGTGCGGGTGTGGTGCCGTGAGCTGGCTGTGCACGTGGTGGAGACAGGTTGCTGGCGCCGGTGCTGGTGCTGGGTGCCGGATGCCGGTGCTGGTGCTGGTGCTGTTGGCTGGCTGTGCACGTGGTGGAGACAGGTTGCTGGTGCTGGTGTTGGTGCTGGGTGGTGGGTGCCGGGTGGCGCGTGCCGGCGCTAGTGCTGGTGCTGTGCGGTGCCGGTGCTGGGCGCCGGTGCCGGTGCTGGTGCTGTGAGCTGGCTAGGTTGGCGGTGGTGCCGGGTGCCGGAGCCGGGCGCCGGTGCGGGTGCTGGTGCTGGTTGAAGGGTGCCGGTGCTGGTGCTGGTGCTGGGAGCTGGCTGTGCACGTGGTGGAGACAGGTATATCTAAAGACATCTAAGGACGATTTACATGTTATGCATTGCTAGGGATTCTTGCAGGGTTGTTGTCAATCTCATCTTCAGTTCAACACCTACGGTGTATGCAGGGCTTGAAACCACTCCTGCGTTTCCCTATGACTTCCCGACGAAGCAATGAAAAGGGCCCCGTCGGAAGGGGCAAGGATTAGAAGCATCGGTGGCCTTGTACCGACTAGTGACTAGGTGGGTTGGTGTGTTTGGTTGGTAGATAGAGCTGGTAGAGGAGATACACCCAAGTGTGTCGTGTATTATGGCTTTGGACCTGCTGACGTTGCAAGGCGCTGTCCAATTCCCCAGATAGTGAAGCTATGGGCTTCTTACTTCAATAACAATGAGTTGCCCGTCCGCATTTTCGAGACAGGTTGCTGGTGCTGGTGCTGGGTGCCGGTGTTGGTGCTGGTGCTGCGAGCTGGCTCTATCTGGGGTCTATGCTGGTGTAATTTTATTGGAGAACTCTGGCAAGAAAAGCTGCCAACCATCACAAGAGAGCTCTTCTTAAGAACTCCTGCTATATACGAGGGCTTAACCCCTTAGAACGTCTCCTTTTCGGCCAGAAAACCCCTTGAATTAGCGCCCACTGTGCTGGATCCTCTTGTTCCTCCGACCAGGCGGAGACCCGCCCGCCCGGGGGCCCAAGCCGACGAGTTCGGTGACGTGCCACTGACTTGGGTGGATCGCTAAAAGGGTGACCAGTGGCGAGGAACTCGTTGGAAAGTTAGTGGATGAATATATAGTCAAAAGATGCCAAGGCCCCAGGTCACGAACGAGTTGGTGGGGAGCCTCAAAACCTGAACGGCATCAAGAAGACCCATGACCCATGACCGATGAAGTGCCATGAAGCCTTCCAAAAAATACATGGGGCGCTCTCCTGCAACCATTCTTCCCCCAGCCAACCCACGCACGCCTGCAGCTCCGCTGGCTCTATTGCCTTATCGCCTGAAGAAGCCGCTCCTCAGCGCCCGTCGCCCAAACTCGCCGACGCCCGCCATGCGCGCCTTCTTGTTTCGCACCGTGGACACCGAGAGCGGCTCTGAGCATGAGGCCTCCGAGCGCGTGAACTTTCCGCGCTTCTCCAGTGGGACGCTTCTTCTTCGGAATATAGGGGGCCCGGGGGGATGGACCCAGGGGATGAGGCGGCCCAAGCTGCTTGGATGTTGGATGGAGTTGGGATCAGGAATGAGAGCCACATAGAGAGGAACTGACATCTGCACCTACCCTCAATCAAGGACTGGGAACCCCTCACCGTCAAGTCCACTTGAATGAGATGTCAAGGACATATGTTGGGACTGTTTCATGATAGTAGACCTGTCCAGCTCCAGCCTCGTCAGGGTGGTGTATACATAGCCCCCCCCATTCCATATGTGTACCATCCAATCATCCAATCATCGATCGTGTGCTGAGGCCGCTGATGTTTCGTACTCCAAACGGATTAATTCGTCACCTCTCTTTCCAACTGCCTGACGTTCTTCAGATCGATTGGCTTACGCGTCGTGCTCGCGTCTTAGGAAGCGCGTCGTGGGCTTTGTGGCGGTGATTCTGGGGGTTTTGGCCCTGGGCTCCATGCGCTACTCCAAGCAGTGTGTCAACCTGAACGGCCTGCAGGGCAAGTCGGAGGTGGGGCAGCCGGTTGCTGTGTCCCCCCAAAAGCACGGAAAGAGGAGGTGAGGGTGATCTGGAGTAATTTGAACCAGGCCATCCTATCTCGGTGTCCAATGATATCCTCTACACTATCTGGGATCTCCAGCCACACCCATATATTTTCCTAGAACCCAGACCGACCTCCGTTTTGATAGGACGTTGGACCATATTTTGGGTGGTGAATGATCCGAGTCGACTTCACTCAGGTCACTCAGCTCGCCCCCGACGGTGGGGGTCGTGGATGAGTTTCGGTCGGTGCTTGCATGTCCAACGTCCAGGTCACTCAGGTCGTCGCCGCCGGTCGGTGACCGGTGACCTGTCTGATACTTCCCCGATACGTCCGAGGCGGTCGGAGTCGGATTTGATGCGGAATTGGATGCGGAATTCCCCAGCCGTGGCCTAGAAGTCCAAAAGATCTTTTTCTGATACCACCGAAGTCAAGGACATGCCGTTTCGGATATTTTCAAATCAGCGAAGGACCATTTTTCAAGTGGTCTCGGACTCCTAGGGCATGTCTTCCGTGGTTTTCCCGGAAGCTTTTGAACTGGCCTCAGGACTACCGGGCAAAGGAAGGTGAAGATTCTTACCACACTGGTGAAGATTCTTACTTGTGCAGCACCCGTACCAACCTCTCTGCCCGGTAAGCACAGATACAGAAACACAAAGCAACATCGAAGAACCACCTCTTTTGATGGCTTCGTGTGAACCGGTCCTCCGTCGCCGGACCCTCCGTGAGCTCGGACATGGTGACGCTGGAGGTGCAGATGGATGCGGCCATTCGCCAGACCGCTGAGAAGCTCATGAAGGCCACTGGGGGGAACGAAGTGAGGGGGGAAGGCCATGGGGGGAAGCGAGGGACTCTGGGGATGTGTTGATGTGATGGGTTTGTCCTGGTTACGCAAGACGCAAGTCCGAACGTCTTTTCTGAAAGGGCCTAAAGAGGCGGGGTACTGTAGTAGTAACTAGTATCATCCAGAATGACGTTCGCCGTGTATATTTCTTGACCAGTTACTGCAAGCACCCCTTGTTTTGGTTGCAAGCAGTGGCCCGGCGGAATCCGGCCAGAAGGACACCAACCACTGCTAGCTGCTAGGGGATCCATCGAGGCACCATTGCCACCATTGCACCGGAATCATCTGAAACAGGTCGAGAGGGAAAGGGTCCCATGTGACATGGGATGTCGAAGTTTGTCTTATGACTGTCGACGGTTCGCCGTTCACGAAAAACCCAGTCAGTGGACCACCTTTAATCTTTTTTTGTTGGGATTTGGTTTTCCCAAGTTGAAAAGAAGTTATATGCTGTAACCTTAATTTTCCCAGGGAAGCTGATGGAGTCAGTTCACTAGCAATCACAGAAATCAGGCTGCCAAGACGTATCATCTTCCATCCATGATCGTTGGTGTGCTGTGTTCCAAGAACATGGAACTCCCGTTGAAAAAGAGCCACAAGGAGGGATGTCATGCAAGCTGCTGATGGGGCCTTGTAGCCTCACGAAGCTGCGATGTCTGAAAGCCAAAACCTCCAGTTCTACAGACTAATCTACTAATTGACATGTGTTTTGCAGCAAGCAGATTTGTCTGTCGATTTCTTTGGTTGGTGTATTTTTTTTTATCCTAAATACTAATTTTCCATCATCTTTGCACAGCTTGGGCACCTCAACAGCTTGGCTGTTGAACCCATCGGAGGAAACGGCCCCAGCCAGCTAGGGAGCGAACACGAGCGAAAACGAGCTCCCGAGCTCCCGAGCTCCGCTCCCCAGAAAGCCAAACAGACATGCCACTGCCAGAGTTCAAGAACACCAACTTGGTAAGTACAGTTTGACCATACCAATCTGGTGAATCCTCCTCCTACTCCTCCTCCTCCTCTTCATCATCGAATTCGCCAGCTTTGGCATTGCTTCCCTCGCGTCCCACCTGTCAGGGGCCCGCCGCCAAGAACCGCACCTTGGCCGAAGACACGGTGCTCCGTGCCATGAAGAAAGCGGGCCATGCGGCGCAGAAGGATTGGGAGGACTGCCTTCGATGGGGCTGGGATGGATGGGGCTTAGGATGGGGCTTCATTTTTCCCCAAACAGTGTGGGCACACGGAGGGGTTCTGGATCTCTAGACTTTCTGCTTACAGACCCTCACACACACACACTGTTTGGGGTCTCTTGCCGGGATCATTTTTTTGGGGGGGGAACAAGGGAGGGAGGGAGGGAACTGTGAACTGCAGGCGCATCGAGGCGCATCCTTCACTCCAATTTTTCACAAAGCCACGAATCCACGTCCGTCCAAACGTAGGAATCCGTGGGTCGTGTGCCACGGGGCGTCGTAAACTCGGGGGCCGTTGTCGTGCGTTGGGTCGATGGAGACAGCGTTGGTCTCACCGTGAAATGGGATTGACATGAAAAGCCTAGAGGTAGATATTGTAGACATAGTATGGAAATAACTTTGCAGAATGAATGGTTCGTGCTTGAGTGCTTTTTGTTTCTGCTTTAATTGCTTGTTTTCTTGTCATTTTCTATCATGCTCATAACAGCTTTTTGACCGCCAGTGCCTTGTTCCTGCCCAAGACTGCCACAACCTCTTTGAAAGGCTCTGCAGAGCGATGTTCCATGTGCAGCAACATGCAACGACGGTCGGAACAGCACTAGCGAAAGACACCGCAGCATATCTCAAACACAAAACAGTGCGGGAAACATATGCCAGGACCCACGGTCGGGGTGTTTTCTTGGACACCCCGAATCATCTCCTTTCGGGGCTATCAATAGAAGCCCCTGAACCCATGTCCTGCCGTGCTTGAAATTGGCATTGTCGATTTCACAGCCTGTTGAGCAGTACGTACGAGCAACGCTAAGGATTAGAACAGTTTGGGCGCATGCGGCATCCCGATCTTCAAGGTCAGCCTACTTTGAATAGTAGGAATCATATTTAAGAATGCTAAGCAGGGCCGCTTTGTCTAGAGTGAGCACCTGCCGTGCCTAAGCATATGATGACCTTGTTAGCGCTGCAGCAAAGAAACCACCTGGAGTCGTTGCTTGTTTGCGTTGCGACACTTCTATTTTTTGTATACACAGGCCTGTGCCTCGACACTTCTAAATTCTATGCGCAGTCCCGTGCATGGCTTTTGATTGCAGGCTCTACTCGAATGAGAGGATCATGGCAACAACAAATTCTTCTGGGAGAGGACCATTGATAACACAAGTATATGACCCTTCGTTAGATAGTATAGGTGGTATATGACCCTTCCATTGATAACACAAGTGAGGTGGTTATGATAGTCTGATAGTATATGACCATTTCTTTTTATGGGTGAGGAGGAAGCCGAGCTGGCATGGTGAAAGACGTGTAACTCAGCCGTTGGCTTCGATCAAGCCGGGAAAGCCCAACCAGATACTATGGACCATGGACGGTCCGTTTGACTTGTTTCAGACCCGCGATCTTCCAAACCTGTGCAACAATTCAGTATGAACTGGTCCAGTTTTCTCCGAAAGCTTTCTTGCTTCGCGGCGGCTCGCCTCCCGCTTCTGTGCGGAAAGGAGCATCACATCCGAAAGCTGGACACCTTGGCCACCTTGAAGGATATCCAGGCAGCTCCTCCCTTTTGGCCGTGGATAGAAACCGATGGCATCATAGTCTTTAACAGGCCAAGATGTTATAGATTGACCCTATCCCAACCAGCACCACCCAGTGGTGGTGATTGGATGGAACATCTCCTCCTCCTCAGCGGGGGGGGGTCTGCCCCCAAAACGCCCTGGTTGGGAGGATCAAACCCGTTCGGACCCGTTCTCTTCGGGTCTCCGGGGGGATCTACGGCGAACACACACCCAGCGGGGCGGACCGGAGGCGGTGAAGGACTTCCGCCGGGGGCAGCACAACGAGGAGGCCGGGAATGCAGAGTGCGCCTTCAACGTTCTCGAGGCGGAAGGGGGGGTTGGAAGGGGGGATGTCGGTGGGATGGGGTCAGTGGCTGAAGGTACTGATATCAGTGGCTGATGGGGTCAGTGGCTGTCCCACTTGAAGATTGGAGATGTTGGGTATGGGTCTTAGTTACAGGGAGCTGGGTCGACGCACATTCTGGGATGCATTCCCTCAAGGATTGAGAGTTTGGCCAGCCTGGCCAGATTGTGGCGGATTTGAGCGGATGACTGCCTTCACCACCCTGCACTACTGACGGATGTGCACCCATCTGCACATGAAGGTTTTGGGGGACCTCTCTTGTCCAAAGTCCCGTCTGGATGATCAAGCTCTGCTGGTTCTGCCATTGGAATCTCTGGTGACCTACTCTTCAGAAAGACCCTCCGGAAGAAATGAGTCTTAGTGCCTCTCGTTTTCCAGTCTGGATCCTTCTTGGCTTGGTCTCCTAAGCCTTCGCCAGCCTGCCTTCGCCTTCGCCTGCCAGCCTCCGCCGGCGCCAGCTCGCTGCGCGACGCTGCGAGGCCTTTGTCTCGGTCGTGGGCATGGGCGACGACCTCAACGGCATCGTCCGCACCTGCCCTCCACCCCGGGACGGTGAATCCGAATTGGCCTGCCAGGCGGACGGACGGACGGTCGCGACCGGATCCAGGTGACCGAAGGGTCGGACGGTGGCAACGACTGGTTTAGCGGGGTCGACCGGATGGAGCCGAGATACGGAAGGAATATGAGATAGGTTTGGTCTTCCAAGAGCATTCAAAGATAGCTTGACCTGGTTTTGTAGTCTAGTAAAAAACCATGGTGGTTCAGTTGAAGGCTGGTTGGAATCCTATAGGGTCAGTATCGTTTGAAGAGTTGCAGAGATGGGATGTGCGGATTATTTCTCCGATTTTCGAAGGGTCCGGAGTCTCCTGAGTGGATGAGTGCTAGAAGACACATCAGACTTGTACATCTACAAATATTTATTGCAACACTGAGACTTTCGTGTTTGTTGGACTTCAACCCGCAAGAAGGGCAGAACGGACCTGATCTTCGACCAGGGCAGCCAGCAGGGGGGATTTGAGGGGTGGTGTCCGGTGGATGCCTTTGGCCGGAACGACTGACAGGAAGGGGATTTTTCTCCTGACCAACAAATTTCTTGGATCCGTTCTGGTTTTCTAGGAGTTTCTGAGATCTGGGAGGTTGAAGGAGGATGGTGGGAGTTCGACAGGAAATCGGTGTTGAACCACAGGGGCTTTTTCTGCAAGGTCCCCACCACACTTCTGCTCTTCGGGCCATCAGGCTGGTGTTGCAAGGTTCACTGGGGGGGGTCGTCCGAAACACCCGCAACCAAAGCATTCACCCCTGAGTGCCAGCTCCTCCCGCCCCAAACAGGGCCTCCTCCTCCCCAACACCTCTTCCACAAACGAGAAGTTGCATCGCTGCACCGTTTCGCCCCAAAAAACCGTCCAACGGGTGCCTGTTCACTGCGGCAGCGGCCGGTGTTTTCCAATGGCCAAGAACCCACCTCCTGCATCCATTTCACCGAAAACTGTATTGGGCTGGCGCCTGTTCGCGATTCGTTGCGCGTGTTTTTCCAACGCCAAGCAAACCACCCAACATCCACGGCGCGGAACCCTGCTGACGCCTGTCCGCAGGTCGATGCGTCGATCTTGGTGGCCTGGGTGGGCAACTTGGCGGCGAAGATCTCCTTGGCGGCCTCCAACTGCGCCTTGACGCTCAACGTGGACTCCGTCTGCGCGGCAGGCGGACCGCGGAGGGTGCGGGCTGGGTGGTGGTCCGGTGGGTTTCCCGCCCAATTGGGTCTGGTGAAAAGGGCGGAACAAGGACGATGATGACGATGTGATATTGTCAGAACATTTGGGTGTGCTTTTTAAATGGGAGACCCCCTGACCCTGGCTGGCTGGCAGACTGGTCTATTTCCAGGGGGCCGTTGCCTGGGTGGTCTCCCTATTCGACAATCATACACACCCATTGTGGAGCTGTGTTTTCCTGGAAGATGTGGGCTGACCCCAGAAGACTCGTCGACCGTCGAACCCCGAGGCCAGACGAAGTCAAGGCAGTTTCGCCCTTTTTTTCGACTCGGCCTCTGAAGACTTCCAAAAGGAAAGAGATCTGGTTTTTGTCTGAATATAACTAACCCAATAATTGAATCAAACAAGGTGGACGCAATTTGTCACAAATTCAACAACAAACTGATTTAATTATGTTTTGATTTCCATGCAAATATCTATTATCTTTTCAAGGTTTTGAGTTTTTTCTTCAAAATTTTGAATGAAACTATTGTTGTTATATAATAACATGCCCAATGCAATCAATAATCAATGACAAATGAAACAACACGTAACAATTTCTATCCATCCTGGACTTATTGGCATTATTCCTGGACTTATTCGATGTCATATTTTTTTTATAAGGTATCTTCCTTCTGCGGACTTCTTGGACGACACTCCGGAGACCGGAAGAGTGGTATGAGAACCGACCAGCACCTCGGTCGACCATGTCGGGATCTCCAATGGAAGCCTACTCCGATTCCGGGGATCAAAACCCACGGTCACGGAAGGTTCAGAAATTGTCCAGTGGAATGTAGACTCTTGAGGACCATAAAGCCCCCGCTTTGAAGAGGAGTATCACTTAGGGGTGGTGTATGGTCCTCAAGAGTCTACATGGTGTGGGGTAAGCGAGGGCCAGCGTAACTCGTCCAGTCCCCTTACACTCTGAGTGTCAGGAGTCACTGGCGTGATCGCCGGCTTCGGTGAGATCTCCGCCGGTGCGGGTGCCCGGCGGAACCGACCGGCGGAAGGCTTCGGGTGCCCGGCCTTCGGTGACCTGTTCGGGTCGAGTTCGGGTAGGAAAGGACCTCTGTTTTGAGAGGACAGGGTGCATATTTGGGGTGGTTGATCCAAATAGAGCTCACTCAGGTTCTAGGTGTTTATGGTGGGATGTAGCTCTTGGGCTCTCGAAGAAGCACACATTCATGTCAATGGCAGGATGTGAAAGACTTGGCCAAGTTTCAGGAACGGTGATCGACGTCGAAGCCGGGCGACACAGCGAACGATCGAAATGCTTGGGGGCTCTCTGTGAAATGCTCAGGCGCCTGCTTGGGTGCAGTGACTTGCTCGCCCACCCCACCCGCCTTGTCCACAACCAAGATTAGCGCCTCGAAGCGGTCAGGAGAGAGAGAGAGAGAGAGAGGGAGAGGTGGGAATTGCATTGGTCAGAAGTTTGTGTATGTTTGGTGACAGACGCATCCACAGTGAAAGCACAGCTTGACATCCTAACTTTAAAAATCATGGATTCACATGGTGATCAATTTCCATTGCCTTGTCTGGAGAAATCAATCCAAAGTGCCGTCTAGCATGGTCCAGGCTGTTTATCAAAACTTTGCGATACTCTTTCAGAGCCCCACAGGCTCCACAGCAACAACATCTGGAGTGGCTTCTCCCATGCTAGCTAGGCCTCATTAGCTAGGCATGCATGCAGTTTTCCCCACGTTTCATGGAGAACGACCATCCTCGCCGATGCTTCAGTCCCAAAAAGGGCACCAAAAGAAGGCACAGCCAACGCGACCTTGAGGTCGGAGCAGGACCAAGTTCTTGGACTCGGTAGGATTTCGGGACAGTGAAGGAACCCGAGAGCCCGGTCCTTCACTCCGGTCCTTCACCTCCAATCCTCCGGTCATTCATCTCTCGATCCTCTCGCCACACGAGACCCCCCTTCGTTGCCCGCGCGACCGAAGGGAAACACCGTCCACCCCCCCTGCATCCCCCGCGTACCGACGCCGCCCGAGTCACGGGTGAAGCCTCGGTTCGTCACCTTCGCCCCGCGCACCTGAGGCGTGTTGGGCGACCAAACGGTGCGGAGCCGACGACTGGACGGTCGCCGGGCGAGAAGGGGAAGAACCGGTGCGGTTTCGGTGGTCACCGGTGGTGGGGTCCGCCTTTCAGTGGCGACCGGGACGGCTGGCTTTGGAAAAGCGAAGAAGAAGCCGAAGTCGAAGGAGTTCTTCCAGTGATGGAACTAGAGGGAATTGTGAAAGCAAGTCCTGCGACACACATGTTGTTGGATGGAAGCGCCCCCCAAAAGCCACCAAAAACCACCAGTTCAGCAGTTCGAGTTGTCGAACTTGGAAGTCGGGGTGCCCAGAACATCCACATCCATATTTTTTAGGGACCAATAACAGCACATTTCGACATGGAACTGCTACTTCGCCCTGCCAGTGTCACGGGTGTGGATCCACGGCGGCCTCGTCTCCTTCCGAGTACAGCGTCTCCTCTCCACCGCCGAGACGACCGACACGCGACGAGTCCAGGTGTCTCCGAGAAGAAGCCCGACGATGCTGCGCCGGGGCGACGTCTGTTGATCGGCGAGGGGACCATCGGCAATGGCGTGCAGTGTGGGGTCGACGTGGGCTGCTGGGCTGAAAGTGCAACAGCTGGGGTTTGCTGTATGTATATGTTCTTTTTCTTGTATCATCATGCGTTTTTTTGTTTTTGGTTGATTTTCCTTTATGTCAACAGAGAGTGTTGGTCGGAGGTTGGTGTTTTTGCTCTTTAAGCTGTTTAGCACACCGAGTTTTCGCAGCTGAAGTTCACCCTTTTTAAGAGAACATGCCAAGCGGGGTCCAGGTCAAGTTGGTTGACTCACGGTGACTTCGAACTGAAGCTTTTAGTGCTGGTGCCGCTGGTGCCAGTGTTTCTTTGGGTTCTGAACACAAGCCAAAGGCGCAACTAGGCCGTCCAGGCTGCCCGTGAGGCCAGTTTTGGCCAGTTATAGTTCGGAGTCCACCGACCTGTCCTCTGTTTCTCCACCAAAAGCAACATGCTTTTCTTGGGTTTATTGATGGCCTGCCGTCTTTGTCCCATTTGCTGCAAGATTGTGATACACATCGCCTTATAATAACCGGAGATCTACCAGATACCCTCCTGGCCTCCGGGTCCCATTTGGCACCCGCGTGCGTAGAGCGGAGGGTCCTGGTAGAAACCTCTTCCAGGACCAAATTGACCGTACAAGATAGACTGACATGGGATCTCTTCGCTTGACCATACAAGGCATGGTGGCGGCCAACATCGCGAACATGGGGCTGGTGACATGGCGATGTGGAGAGGGGCATGTTTGCTGTAGGTGTTCCTACGGACATTTACCCTAGCCTTCCAAGCGAATTAAAGACAGGTTGAGCTGGTTTTGTATGGTTTTGTAGTCTACACTCCTTAGTAAAACAATGGTTGTTAAGTAAAAAAGATCACTGGTGCTTGGAATCTCCTGGGGCTTAGGGCTTACTGTAGGTAGCAGGATCATCCCATCGGTGTGGCTAGGTCGTCAAGAGCCCGTCCCCCCCGGGGGCTCCTCAGATGTTCAATTTGTTCGTTTTCCGAACCTGGTTCCCATCTGGAAGCCCCTGCTTCATCTGCGAACGGAGTGCCTGTGTGAGTCTTCTCCAGGCGATCTGGTTTGCCTGGATTTTCGATGGAACACCGCTCCAAACATCCTGTGGGTTCGGGTGTCGCCCTTGGTCGGGTGCGCGCTCTTCTCCACGCGTGACGAGGCCATCAACAAGGCAGTGAACGTGAACCGCTGTGGGAAGTTTGCCACTGAGAAGCTGAGCTGATCGGTGAGATGGGATGGTTCAGAAGGGTCAACCAGAGGTCAATGGAAGAAAGACACACTGACAGTCACCTGGCACCGGACACCAGCAATGACATCACCACCAGCAAGCTCCACCTTGTTGGGGACCTCTCAGAAGTCGGGTGTGCCAAGCACGAATGTTGCCCCGCCCAGGAAGCAGCCTTTGAACGTCCTCAAGGGCATCCCCGACGCCCTGTGCACCGTGGACATTGCGGGAGCTGTGGCTTACATCAGCCAGGTGGTCGGGCAGCTCAGAAGGGCGGCTTTCGCGCAGGGCCAGGCGCTGCGGCTTCAAGCAGGGCCATTTGCTTGACCTCTTGTAACCTCCTGTGAAGGGACGTTGATCTTCCGCAATGCCAACCAAGAGAGGTTGAACAGCCTTATAAGTACCACTATGGTTATAAACAACTTTCATATGGTAAGGCCAGAATCCGTGATTTAAGAAAACGACAAAAAAGTCAAAAAAAGTCAACTGGAAAAGTCAAAGTCAAAAAATGGTCAAATTGAACAGTAAAAAAAATCAAAAAAAAGTCGAAAAAAGGGCAAAAAACGTCAACCATAGACCACAGCTCGAAAAAGTAAAAAGAACATTTAAAAAAAACAAGTCGAAAAAAGTCGAACAAAGTCAAAAAAAGTCAAAAGTGTGGCTCCTTGTCTTGGCGGATTACTGGAGTCAAGAAAAGTCAAAAACAGTCGAACAAAAAGTCAACCATAGACCACAGCTCGAAAGCGTCCAAAAAAGTTAAAAAAACATCGAAAAAAAGTCGAACAAACAGTCGAAAAAAGGTCAAAAAAAGTCGGATCTGGGCAAATCGACTTTTTTTTGACTTTCTGAAATTTTATGATTTGACTTTTTTGACTTTGACTTTTGGGATTAACTATTTTTTTTGACGTTTTTTGATTTATTATTTTTTAATTTAGAAACCATGCTCTTTCCAATTAAAGCTTTTTATAAACTATGGGGTCCTAGTTCAGGTCTCTCAACCTTTTTTTTTGAATCTCTGTTTCAGGTGGAAGGAAGTTCAACTTTTTCCCAAGCCTGTCTCTCGACCAGAGGGAAGTTGTCTGCGAAAGCGCCAAGTCTGTCCTTTAAGCTCCGGACAATGTTCACTCCACGGGCCTTTCTGGAACATTAATGAAAAACGGTTTGAACATCATATATCTTCTTGGCATGGTTGTAATCACCCAGTTGAGACCTGGTCTGCAGGATTATACGGTTATAATCAATGGTTGTTAGGCCCTTCGCTCGTTCTTACCTAGGCCCGTTTTGTTTTTCTTTCGATGGCTTTCCGGTGCCGACCCATCTGGGGAAAGCTCCCATGGGTCACGGCGAACAGAGAAAGCGTCAGCGAGACGATCGGTTGAACCACCTTTTTGCAGGTCTTTTTTCGCCGAACACCGCGTTTCTGTTTTTTTGTCCGTCCAACCATACGCCGGCCATGCGCCGGCCATGCGCTTCCAAGGTGACCTTCATCAACCTCATCGTGGTGCATTGCCAGGACCGGGTGCTTTGGGTGTGAACGTCACGCTGTTCGCCGGCACCGGGCAAGCCTTGATCCACAGCTTCCACAGCCCAAGAGAAGTAGACACACAGTTCATAAAACAGCCGCTCCTCGGCAGTCAGCAGAAACAACGTTCGCAAACATTTGAGAAAGGGGGATGCCCAGGTAGCAGTAGTATAACTCATTCAAAAAAACGAAAACAACGCTGCAGCACCAATACTCTCCTGGGTTCATCCCGTTACCATTCTGTCAGATTTAGACGCATTCAGTGTTGGATTTCGTGTTGTACACAATACTTATCACGCACACACAGAGCATTTGAGTGTTTGCGCGAGAAAGAAGACTTCGTTTTGTAATTTCTCAAAAGAAGAACCAGATGTAGCCAAACATTTACTGTAATATATTTAAACGCAAGTGCAAATGGCTGCTCAGTTTCCCGAACATTTTTGAGCCGTGGCAGCCATGGTCATGAGAATTTCAGCGCTGCAGCCAAGTGGTGAAGTCATGGTTCTAGACGTATCACCAGAGATGATGGTTCATGAGCTTAAACAGCAGATCAAAGAAGCACAGCCTTGGGACTCCATTACTTGCAAGACTACTCGCGTGGAGATCATTGCTGGAGACGATCAGTTGCTTGACGATGATGCAAAGGTGTTGGACACCGGACTTGCTGCAGACGCAGGACTTGCCAGTGTTGTTTTCAAAGTAAACATGGTGGTTTGCTCCAACAAAGATGATATTGCTAGCTTGGAAAGCGATATTGACCCGGAGCTTCTGCTTGTGGTTGAAATCCCAAACCATGAAATGCAAGTTATCGAGAGGGCTGCTTTCCAGCAGTGCCACGTTTTGGCCAAATTGAACATCCCAGATTCAGTGACCCACATTGGTGACTTCTCCTTTGAGGGTTGCGTTTGCTTGGAGAGCTTGACCATCCCAGACTCTGTGACCGGCATTGGGATTGGTGCCTTTCGAAATTGCAACTCTTTGGCGAGCTTGACCCTCTCAAACTCAGTGACTCACATTGGGAATTTTGCTTTTCAGAATTGCAGCTCTCTGGTGAACCTGACCATCCCAGACTCAGTGACTCACATTAGGCAAAGTGTCTTTGCATTTTGCAGCTCTTTGGTAAGCTTGATCATCCCCGACACAGTGACGACCATTGGGAATTTGGCCTTCGCGAATTGTACTTCTTTGGCAAGTTTCACCATCCCAGACTCAGTGACTCACATTGGGTACCGTGCCTTTGAGAATTGCAGGTCTTTGGTGAGCTTGACTATGCCGAACTCAGTGACCTACATTGAGAATAGTGTCTTTGCATTTTGCAGCTCTTTGGTAAGCTTGACCATCCCCGACACAGTGACGACCATTGGGAATTTGGCTTTCGCAAATTGTACTTCTTTGGCAAGTTTTACCATCCCAGACTCAGTGACTCACATTGGGGAACATGCCTTTGAGAATTGCAGCTCTTTGGTGAGCTTGACTATGCCGAACTCAGTGACCTACATTGAGAATAGTGTCTTTGCATTTTGCAGCTCTTTGGTAAGCTTGACCATCCCCGACACAGTGACCCACATTGGGGAAGATGCCTTTCAGAACTGCAGTTCTTTGGTGAACTTGACCATCCCAGACTCGGTGACCCACATTGGAAATGGTGCCTTTCGGAATTGCTGCTCTCTAGCAAACTTGAGCCTCCCTGACTCACTGACCCACATTGGCACGGGTGCTTTTCAGTCCTGCAACTCTTTGTCAGACTTGACTATCCCAAACTCTGTGCCCACCATTGAGGTTCGCACCTTTCATCGGTGCAGTTCTTTGGTGAAGTTGAGTATCCCACACTCTGTGACTCACATTGGCGATGCTGCCTTTCAGGAATGCAGCGCTTTGGTGAATTTGATCATCCTGGACTCGGTGACCCGCATCGGCGATGGTGCCTTTGACAAATGCAGCTCTCTGGCGAACTTAACCCTCCCTAACTCATTGACCCACATTGGAAATGGCGCTTTTCAATGCTGCAGGTCTTTGACACACTTGACCATCCCAGACTCAGTGACCCGCGTTGGGAATGGTGCCTTTCGAAATTGCAGCGTTTTGCGGAGCTTGAGCATCCCAAACTCTGTGACCCACATTGGCATGGGTGCTTTTCAGTCCTGCAACTCTCTGGCGAGCGTTACGTTCCCAAACTCTGTGCCCACCATTGAGGTTCGCACCTTTCATCAGTGCAGTTCTTTGGTGAAGTTGAGTATCCCACACTCTGTGACTCACATTGGCGATGCTGCCTTTCAGTTTTGTAGCTCTTTGGTGGATTTGATCATCCCGGACTCAGTGACCCACATTGGGAATGGTGCTTTTCAATGCTGCAGGTCTTTGACACACTTGACCATCCCACACTCAGTCACCCACATTGGGAATGGTGCCTTTCAGAATTGCTGCTCTCTGGCAAACTTGAGCCTCCCTGACTCACTGACCCACGTTGGCATGGGTGCTTTTCAGCACTGCAACTCTTTGTCAGACTTGACTATCCCTGACTCAGTGATTTCAGGGACCTAGAGGCATTGAAGTACTACGAGTCTTTGGCAAGCTTGGCGGCTCCACATGGTGATCCACACGGTGGCTGCACAGCAGCTGAACCACCAGGTCCGACGACCTCGCACACGACCTCCAGCGACGTCGATGCGCATCGGGCCGACAGACCGGCCGAGAGACCCGACGGCCGAGAGGGGAAAGATGGACTCGTCATGAGGTCGTGTAGGATGAGATGAGTTGTTTTCAGGGTAGTGTAGGTCAGTAGGTCAGTTCCTTTATACAATGACTACAGCTTAGAGAAAAGAAGGCCTTGTCCTCCTCTTGTCCTCTGTGGCTGGGCCTTGTCCTCTTCTTGTCCTCCTCTTGTCCTTGTCTTGGCCGCGCCCCTGAACTCTGTGGCTGGGCTCTGTGTCCGGGTCTTGTCCTCCTCTTGTCCTTGTCTTGGCCGCGCCCCTGAACTCTGTGGCTGGTCTCTGTGGTCCGGCTTACTGGAGAGGATTGTGGCCGAACAAATAGCGATGTCAATGCCGACAAAAATTCATCGATGAAGCAGTTTGCCCTTGGGGTGAAGGTAGGGCGTACCAAGAAATCGATTTTTGGCTAATATTGGTCAAAGCGAATCGTTTTGAGGCTGTTTGGGGTCTATGCTTGTATAATTTTTTCAAAGCACTCACTCATATACAGTAAATCGTTGATGAAAGAGATGGGCTATGTGGCAAATCATGGATGATGCAGTAAATCGTTGAGGAACGCCCGAGCAACCGCACACCAAGCTCCTGTTGTCAACCCAGTCCAGACCCTTACCAAAAACCAACCCTTTGTTTGGGTAAGTGATTGGAAAGATGAGGACTTTTTGGATGGTTCCTAGGCAGCCCAAAAGCAGGGAAGGACCTCCCCTCCTTCCGAGCTGGCACCGAATTCGGTGGGTCCACTCGCACCGCTCAACGACCTTCGTCCAGGACTTCTTGGACGTGAACGCCTTGTGCGCCGGCTCCATCGCCGCCATCACCACCGGCGCCTCGGCCATCGCCGCCTACAGCGGCGCGCTGCACGCGGCCTGCCGCTACAACGGGCTCCTGAAGCAGCCGACGCCCGGTGGAGCGAAGTGCTTTCGTGGTCACGGTCGCATGCGACCGGGGACCTGCCAGTCCCAGTGGGGAAGGACCAGGACTCCAGGATAGAGAGGTTTTGATACTACAAGCATTGAACAAGTTGAAGAAGTGTTATGGTTGGGCCTGGTACATGGGGGAAGTTTGAGCATCACTACATCATGATTTCTGACTGTTGATTTCAGAAAGATGAGAACAACATGTGCTGCTTGGACAGGGAACCGATTCAGTCGATTCCCATTCTTCTTCGCAGCGACGATGGGTATCTACTGCGGATTCGGGTCTCGGAGTCATGCGACGAGATCTGTTTCAAAGGACCCTATCTCTGGTATCGTGGTGGAACCCCCCAACGAGGCCCCGAGCAACAACCCGGTATTTGACCTATAAATCATCCGAGGGGTGTGTATGAAAATAAGGGGTGGGGATGGTGTTTCTGCAGGAAGCATCCTTGTCTTGTCAGTGATTTGTTTGCTTCCACTCCGCCACCCCGGTTACGCCATGACGGTTGCGCGCGCGCCTCGGGAAGGCGTGCACCATCAAAATAAACACCTCCCGTCTCCCGCGAATTCTTCCAGTTGTCGACCAGATGACTCAGGTGACTTAGGTGACTTAGGTGAAGCATGATTGCAGGCTCTCACCAATCCCCATAGAAGTTTCTGCTGCTGCTGCTTCTCCTCCTGTCTACTGTGTTTGTTTTTGTTTCTTTTGTCTCACACTCCTCCAGTCACCTTTTCTCCCGGATGGTGCGACCAGACCATCCGCCCTCCGCCCGATCCCAGGAAGGCTGTCGCGAAGATCAACGAGCTTTGGACCTTGCCTGACCCCTTGCATCGACGTCTTGAGACCGAGACCGATGAAGAGCCCACTCCTGCCTTGGAGGCGCGGGAGATGGGAGGGAGATGGGGAGGGAGGGATATGGGAGGGAGATGGGGAACTCAACTCACTCAGTGGCTGAGCTCCATGGTCCATCACGATCTCTTCGGATGTTCTGGGAGATGGGAACCTAGGGGGTCTTCAGAAAACCAAAGTTTGTGAGAGGAGATTATTGGTGGGGTTCTCACGTTACTAGGCTCCTTTGACAGTTCATGGAGGTCTCGAATGTGCACCTGCAGGCTTGGACACATCGAAAGCCCAGCCCCTACAGCCCGCATTCCTGGTCGGATGAGAACAGACGTTGCCAGGAGAGCCTGAAGATCATCCGTGAGAGCCGAAAGAACTTGGACGAACACTTGGCCCATTTGGGAATGAACTTCTCCTCCTTCAACACCTATAGCCAGGCCTGGAGGATGAGGGGATATCTGGAGAATGCGGTGAGATGGCGGGGATTCCAGTGGACTTTTGTTTAGAGTGATCTCAACATCAAATCCTATCATAGATTCATAGATAGAACAGTAAATGCCCTGAAAACAGGTTGGGATTGGACGCGGTAAGAAGGATGAATCATAGGGAGTGTTTTTGGAGGAAGCAGCTTGGCGTGATGAGAGATGTGAAGCAACAGGCTGCAGAAGATTAGGATGTTGAAGATGGCATGAAGTCCTCCCAATCTTCAGTGCTCCGAAAAAGCAAATGGATCGCCCCCCAAGGTGGCAATTCATTTGGTGTTGGGCATACAAAAACAGGAGATCCAGAGGAAGCATTTTCTTCACTTCCCCGAGTCCCAAAGGGATCTTGGACTTATTTCTTTTCTCTGAGACACACCCCACCATAGAGCCATCCGACCCTCACACTCCACGGAACCTGAGAGACGCTCCTGGACCACTTTTTGCAAACACTTCTGGTGGCATGAGGTTCCATGCCCCACCTCTCATGTGGAGCTAGACTGTCGCCCTACTGGAAGAGACCCCTCAGTCCGTGGCGCTAAGAAGCGTCCTTCGGCGTCTTCGCGCGTCCTTCGCGCCTTCCATCTAAGGCGGACAAGGAGACCTTGCTGAACTTGATGGAGGGCGGTTTGGAGGAGAAGCCCCGAGCGGCTGGGCCCTTCACGGAGTGCTGAGGAGGAGAGCCACGCCCCGGACGCCGCCCGGCTTCACGGTGGCCGAAGAAGTCACCGTGAGGGGCGAGAGGCGAGAGAGAATGTCTCATGTGTGCGTTCTTCGAGGTGACGATATTTGACGTCTTCAGTCTCCGGTCTGGAATCTCCCAGGGGATTGAGTGGTTGAGTAGGGAGAAATGAAGGATCTATCATGATCTATCCTATTCACTCTGACATACGGCCTCATGAAAAAACGGATCCACTGCAACCCGCTGATTAGACTTTGGATGGCCGGAGCTTCTCAATCATCCAGCAATGTCCATCTCAAACGCTCCAAACAGCACTTGGTCCCTCAAAAGCTAGGGATTTGGGTCCTGACCCTTCCATATGAAGGTCTGGCCCCTACTTTGGAGGGTCCAAGGTCGCCTCTGGGAATATGTTGAGAACTTTGCTACCAGGTTTGAGCTTACAGGCTTGGTATCCATGTTCACCAATGGAGTCGAGGGTCGGGCCGAATTCTGCGGGTGGAGGGAATCAAGGAGGACGAACGTATTTTGTCCTCAAGCGGAAGGACGGGAAAGGAATGAAAAGGTGATCCTCCCCAAAATAGATTCGGTTGGAGTGAAATCATGCTGAACATCGAATTTCTTCACTTTGGGAGCTGGTTTAGTGGATGGCGGACTTCAAGAGCAGCTATATATGTGGGACACATGGGACGGTGCCTTGCATGGAACCACGATGGGATTCGTGGGGAATCAGATTCTGATGGGATTCGCGTCGAACAAGAAAAGCAAACTGGTAACGAAGATGCACACATTGCAAAATGCTAATCTAATACACACAATGCTGTGATAGTTCGGAGCTGCATTTATTCAGACTTGGCAGATCAGTTTGGACTCGACAAGTATTGCTGCATAGCTGCGAAATACACAGGCTTGAGTGGGCTTCCTCAAAGGATTGTCCCAAACAATTCCAAAGGCTCCGAGTGGGCAATTTGTCAGAAGTTCGACCTTCGACGTGCCAAGTCTGAGCTTAATTCGCTTTTGGCCAATGATACTACCATTGAAGTATGTCGAACACCGGCAAGTCATTTTAGGGTCCGACTTGTTGTTGCTGGAGAAAGAATCTGCCAGGGGAGCTGGAGATATCTATCTTCTCCCTTAGCAGCATCTTTGTGGACCTGGGATTCTGTCATACAGTTTCCTTTTATCACTGGAGGTAACAGCTTCGGCAGCCAGCAGCAAGGAACAACCCCGCTGACTTGATGCGGACTCGCTGCATCTCATGGACGAAGGAGGGGCTTTTGACACAAACCGTCCTGAAGTAAGACATCCTGCACCGGCTGTCCCCCGCAAGACACTGCAAACAGCCTCCGCTATCCTCCATGCCAGCGGCCTCTATCTCCGCACATGAGTTCTTCGACTGACAGAGTTGAGAACCTGAAGGAAGCCTTAAAAACAAACAAAAGCAGCTTTCCCGATCGTCCGGTGTTACACAGGTGAACCCGGGCTCCGGGCTCGGGCTTCGCGCTCGGCGGTCCGACCGTTTGGGAGGATCGACTGTTTGGACTCCCCTGTCAAACGTGCACAGGGCCAAGAACCTGCAGAGAACACATATGAGCAACACATGACGGTCAAACGGCAACACATTTGGTGCTTTGATTTGGTGGTCCCCCCCCCCGACCGTCGACCAGTCGACCGGAAGAGCCTCCGTTCATCCGAAGCGTCGCCAGTTCTCACCGTCTTCTTGGGAGACGGTTCAGCTGAAGCGATCTTGACATTGAGCTACCTAGAGAGGTTGAAGAGCCCCATAGCCCATCCCATGTGTACCACTACAGGGTCCTATAAGGTCTCTCGACCTCTCTTGCTACTGTATGTTTGAACACATCAGGCTGCCGCTACTCAGGGCTGCGAAGATCATCGTTCGCTGCTACTGCGACTTGCAGGTGTTCAAAGTCACAGGCCGATTGAACGCGGGTGGCAATGACCACTCAGTTGATTTGCCAGTGATCTGCCGAAGTTCACGTCAGGGTGGTGTGGCTCATTCTCACTCTGAGGCCCTGGTGGCCATGGGTTTTCGTGTGGTCACCGAGACGAAGATGTTCGGCGTATCCAAGGTCTCCGGTTTTGGTCGACCGATCCATTTCTGCCACCGTGGAAACGGATGCACGGTCGCCTGGCTTGGCGTGCTCCTTTCGCCACCACTCGACTGGACATCTTCAAAAGGAACGGCCCAACTCCTGCGGAACGTCCCCTTCGGATGCGATCAGATCCTGGTCCAATCACTTCCGCCATTGAAAGGCCCTTTTGCTATTGGTTGAAGCGATAGAGGGGGTTTTGCCGTGAGCAAGCAAGAGGTAGGCCTGGTACCTCTCACTGACCCCTCTATAATACTCCCAAAAGGACGACAAACCTGCATCAACCAGCCACATCCGTCTGCACCGCGAGCCGGTTCTCGTTTCTTCCGAAAACAAATCAATCGGCCTTTTTGCCATTGGCAACAGCCCAGCCCAGACCAAAATGGTGGTTCCGCTCGCCTTCGCTCGCCAGTCTTCCGCTGGTTGCTGGAGTCGCTCTTTGCTCCTTTCCTTCCACTGGTGGGTTCCGAAGGGTTCCGCAACAGGTGATTTCGACTCGCTACTCGACGCAACTGGTCGCTGAAGTGGCCCAAAAGTAAGGTATTCACATCCGTTTGGTCGCCAAACTAGCCAACCCTTATCACTTGGTCAAGAGCCTAGTCAGGCCATGATATGGGTGTGTATTAGTCTTTTGGGGGCCCCCTATCAATGGGTAGACTCCAGCCTGTGCCTGTGCTCCGGGACACTTGTAGCATCCGAGACCACCTACTTAGACCCGCCGAAGTTCAGGTGCCCGGGATGTCTGCCACCTTTCAGTTGATTCGGGGGGATGATCCTCCGCTGGAAGAATACCCGATTATCTACATCTCTGCAGATATTCAAATAACATCTATAGATGCTAACAGATGCTTCAGTCCATGCCATGCCATGCTGACGGCACGCTTGCGCCACCCTCGTGCTGGCGCGGTGGTGCACTGCCTTTGCGGGGGGGACGGCTCACGGGGGTTGCAGCGATCAATTAGGGTTCGCTTGGGGAATATCCACCAGAGAATCGGGTTTTGTTGGGCTCCTGATCAAACTTGCTGCTCAAATCCTGAACCCAGACGCGACCTTGGACCCTCAACCCCCCTAGGGGCTGGACCCGAATCCTCTGGAGGGTTCCAGACCCTCAACCCGCTAGCTTTTGAGGGACCTTTGGGCCGTTTGGAGCCACCACTTGGGCCAGGCCCAGAATGCTTGGGCTCTGAAGGGTATGTTTGTTGAGGTCCAATCACCCTTTAGAGAGATGCTCTTAAGGAGGTGGTTCTTGGAAGTCAGTGGTTTTGGGGAGGTTGAGCGTTTGCAAGATCACAACGGGGTTCCTTCGCCGGACATCCAACGTTGAATCAATCCTATGGATGTGTCGAACCCAAAGTTGCGCCCGGGTCGAGGGTCACATTGAGACATTCTCATGTCTACTTTGTGAGGGTTCACCACATTTGTATACATTTGTTAGCATACACTCAACATCACTCAACTCATTGCTGTACCAAAACCTTGGAAAACAAGGGGACGAGCAGACAGTGTGGGGAAGATGAGTTTCCATCAATGGCGGGCTTCTTCCAGGATGTCGTATGCAATGGTTGGCTCCTTGTGCATATACCCAGATTTTCCAACTTTGCAACATTGCTGCATTTTCATCTATGAAACCGGCCAAAAGGCAGAAGATTTGCACAGTTGGAAGATCCAGGTATGATCATGTTGAAATCAGTATCGGGTTTAGTCGTGGGACTGAATGGCAAACCATTCTCTCTATGCCAAGACTTTTGAAGCCGCAACCTCTCAGAAGAGCTGGAGACGCCAGTGAGACCGGCGATTTTGCCCCCGAGGCCCCACTGAACAGTTCGGAAAAAAGGGACTTCACCGAAGATCGCTCGACCCGGTGCGGCTCTTGTCTCGGGTCAATAGTCTCGCAATGGGCGCAAGCGCGATGGGTGCAAGAGCCACTTTGGTTTCTCTTTTTTCTCCAAAACAGTATGGACACACTTAGGGAGTTCTTACGGTAATAGTTAAGCACCAGGGCTAGATCGAGGTGACGGCATACTTGAGTTTCATCTTCACATCGGAGATCGGAGAGATAGGGGTACCCACCTGCAGATCCAACGTCTCAGGGTCCGGAGGATCTCTTTTCATCTGCGACCCTCCGCGCCAGCGGCGGCCGTGACCGACACCCATCAACGTTTGCGGGCATATCTAGTCCCAGGCAGGTCGTGTTTGGGACCGTTTTGACATGCCGACTTGCTGGCAGCCTTTGACTGTAGGGTAGGGATCGATCTTGCGGTGGGATCACCTGCAAATTCCCTTAAGGAATACATGTATTATAGACCGGACAATTCCCTTAAGGAGCACGTGTATTTTGGAGATTGGACAATTCAAGCAAATTTCCCCACTTCCCACTTTCAGATCTGGATCTGAACATTCCCCTTTCCGCCACTTTGAAACGACTTTGGTTGGTGGCGGATGACCCCCCAAACCCTTTTTCTGAGCCAGGTCTTCCCACGAACGGATGCTTCGAACCGGTGGAAGCACGATGGGAAACGGCTGACTTCAGCCTGATGCGAGTTCCGCGACGATGGGTATGTCGTACCAGGACCGCGTTCTGTGACCCAAAAGCGGTTTCAGTATGTTTCAGTATTATATCCCAGACACTCCATGGGACTGCCATATATGCCGATCAGTTGGGGTGGTTTGAGGGGTCAATGTAGGCATATATGGCATACATGGAGCGTCTGGGTATGCACATTATCCGGTATGATGTGTGAGTCACTTCCAAGCAAGTGTCTCCGTGAGCTTGAATGGAAGCATAGAACCTGTTTATTAGGAAGTGTGGAGGTTACGTGCTGCTCACGTAGATCAAGATGCTTGTATAGACCGTTTTATCGAGAAAAAGATCAATATTTTTTTTCCTGGTACTTTTGCGTATTTTGTGATCACCGCACAGCAACCAGTGACGAATTTGACCGTTGTGCCCGGCTGCGGCTTGCGTCTCCTGGCCGCTTGGCACCCTCTCAAGGTGTTGATCCAAGCATCCAATTGTCATCCTCGCGCCGCATCTCGTTGCACTTGTCTCATGGCAGCGCTCTTGTCCCGCGTCGACACTGACAGCGAGCCGGAGCTCGTGGTGTCCCGGCGAAGCTGGCCTACAGTGACGCTAGGCGGACAGAGCCGGGCCCGCGACACTGGCATCGCGGAGACTTGAGGTCTTGTACCGTGTGGGTGTGTATTTTAATGCCCATACACTCCATGGGACTGCCATATATGCCGCCCCATTGACCCCCCTGGCACCACCCCAACTGATCGGCATATATGGCATACATGGAGCGTCTGGGATAGGGAGACTCCCAATCAGTTCTCTTTCCCTTCTTCCAGGGGCCCCGGGGGTTTTGGGAGGTCTCCCAATAGACATAGACGCCCATGTTGCTATTTTTTTTTGGGAAGCAGTGCACTGTTGATCCAAGCTGGAAGGAGAGTAGTGAGCCTAAGCGCAAGACCAGATTCAACCTAGTTCAGAAACTCAACCCAAGCACATCTAGCGGCGACGGATGAGCAATCCGTTGCCACAGCATGGTGGCGGGCAATCCGTTGCACGTTGCACATATGGGGGGTCAAGACCTGGAGCCGCAGTCCACCATGTAACCTGACCTGGTGTCCTGGTTTTGATCCACAGCCATAAACCTGGAGACCCTCCGTTCCGACATTGACAAGGTCTGTCCTCCTCTAGCTCCGGACGCTCCGCACCGGTCGCTCCGCACCGACCTCCCGACCGATGCACCGGTGGCCGAGGAAGCGCACCTTGGCCGTGGCCGGTGTGCTGGCCGCGGTCTTGGGTGTGGCCACCTGGCGCCAGTCCAACCAATGCCTCAACCTTGGCGGTTTGCAGGGGAAGACTGAGGTGGATGTGCGATCGAAGGGGGCGCGTTTGTCGCGTGGATGTGCTTCCTGTGGATGTGGGGGGGTTGGATGTGGCAGGATGGGGGGGGGGATTGTCCATGCGGTTTGATGATGCAGACAATGCCTGAGTTTGGTTTAGAGGATAGCAAATAGTTGGCACCAGAGGAAACTGAGTAATAGCGGGCAATGTGCCATGCGCTGGTCCTGGGAGTCCAGTCGATTTCATAGGCGTTCCTTCACCTGCAAACACCCGGCAGAGCCCACTTCCTCTCTCCCTCGCTCCCCCGGCTCCAGGTGGAAATGGATGCGGCTCTCCAGCACACGGCTGAAAAGCTCATGAAGGCCGCTCCGCCCCGGTCCCTTCGTTCCACTCGGCTCCCTGAACCGGCTCTCTGTTCGGAGCTCCGACCTCGGCTCCCGTCCGTCGCAGGGCCCGGAAGCCCACAATCGCACCCTGGCGGAAGACACGGTCTTGCGGGCGATGAAGCATGCGGGCCATGATGCACAGAAGAACTGGGAGGAGAGAGACAGAAAACCCACCCGGGCGGGCGGGAAAACCCCGGCGGAGACAGAGGCTCTGTCGGCCGGTTCAGGTGTGTTGTGGAGTTGAGTCGTGCAGAAGGCTGAGGCAACCGGTAGTCATGGTGTTCCCAGAACTTCCATTAACTCATTCAAAAAACACCTGGTATGTCATGGTCCAACACTGTACGGGTGGTAAAATGAGTCATTTGGATAGGGTCATGGATCTTCATGGATCCATCATTTCGGTGGATTTCGTGTACGACATGAGTGATGTGGTAGACCCTGCCAGGGCAGGAGCTGCCAGCGGCAGAGGGGGGCAGGAAGACTTCCGCCTTTTCAGAAGTCCAAGTCATGGGTCCCCTGGAGGCCGGACTGGCTGGAGGGTTTCAACATCTCCGGAGGGTGTACGAACCATGCAGACCTTGAAGGCATGTAGACCTTGTGTTCACCCTGTTTTTCATCCATGATGCACAGCTTTTGGTCCATTTCCTCTCTTGTGAGGGGACAAGAAAACGTCGCCTCTTTGTCATTCAACTGGCAGTGAAGCTTCACACAACGGAGATTTGAGTATATTGATGGGTGATGAGCGGATACACCAGGTGCCGGCTCGCCGCTACCATAGAGTTTTCAGGAGTTTTTTTCTGCTTGATCCACCCTCCAACAACCCAAAAATGGAGACTTCAAGGTGGTAGCTGGTGAGCGAAGTCGGATGCTGGTCCTGGGCGTGGGTGGTCCTGGGCGTGGGTGGTCCTGTGCCGCCAGCCGTTCACCCTCCACCCGGGCCACCCCCGCTGGTGGCGCGCTTCTGTGGCGGAAAGGAGCACCATATCCGAAAGTTGGACACCTTGGCCACCTTGAAGGATATCCAGGCAGCTCCTTTAAGGGGCCTTGGATGGGTGGAGACACGTGGGGCCGACGACCGGACGTGTCCCATCAAGTCGGTGGGGAACAACCAGCGGGAGATTTGTGTGGGAGGGCGAATCAATGAAATTGCCATAGCCTGAAGTTGCTTTCGTAGATTCTTTTTTAAATGTTTGTTGGGGAGAGAGGCGTGGCCATGTTCTGGGCAGTCACGTGCTCCTAGACAAGCGGATTGACATTTTGTCCGCTTCTGCGAAGTCAGGAAGGCATCCCCTTTCTTGCCGCCGCAAAAAACACACACCACACGACCATGGTTCAGTCAGAGTCAGGAAAGATGACAATGTCAATTTTGTGCGCCGGACACGGGGGAGATGCTTGCGGGATCAAAGCCACACGGTGAATCTGCTGAAAGGACACATTTAAAACACAAACAACCCATCAAACGCAGACGCTCCATGTATGCCATACATGCCTCCATTGGGGTGGTGCCAGGGGTGTCAATGGGGCGGCATATATGGCAGTCCCATGGAGTGTGTGGGAAATGGGGTGTGAAATCTTTCATGCCAAAAGCTTTAGCTCCGCTGCACATGTCGAAGAATCGTCCGTGACCCGGCTGGGAAGAGGTGGTCGCAGAATTCGGTTTCATCTGATTTCTAGCTCCAAAACTTCTAATGACTCACTTTACCCCACCTGGAAGTCATAATCCACACAATCCACCACTACCATAGACCATAGACCATAGTAGTAAAATGAGTCATTTGGAGTCTTAGGGTAATGATTTCTATACCCTCTGTGACCCAGTCGCTCCTGAAAAGAGTTGATCTCAGGACGGCCAGCGTCGGACCTGGGACCTGGTTGGGGCACCACCAGGAAGCACCTGTGTGTGCTGGGTGCGGAACCAATCTCCTTCTTCCTGGGTGAAGCTCGTGCCATGCTGCGTGCTCATGCTGCCGGCCAGGCGGTGAAAGACTTCCGCCGGGGACAGCACAACGAGGAGGCGGGGAACATCGAATGCGCCTTCAACGTGCTTGAGGCGTGGCATCGGGGATCGAAGGGTTTGGTGTCGCGGGGAGAAGAGAAGAGTGAGGACATGGTGAGGTGACTGAGCCGGTGGCCCTGAAGTAGGGCCTCCATAGGCTGGACACTCAAACACGTTTCCATTTGAGGTTCCGGATTCTTCTGGGGGAGCAAGCAGTTCGTTTGTCGCCAGCCTTTGCTGATCCGAGTGCCGGCAATCACGGATCAGCCGGTCTGGCCAACTCGCGACTCAGTCCGATGGCACATGAGACACGCTGGCACCTCGGCGTTCGCGTCGCTGTTGTGACCCATCTCCCGCCAGCTTGGCCTTCAAGCGGTGAGTCACCCATTTCACCCAGCTTGTCACCAAGCTTGTCACACATCTCCCGCCCGCCTTCGCTGCTAGAGGCCTTTGTCTCGGTCATGGGCATGGGCGACGACATCAACGGCATCATCCGCACCTGCCCTCCACCCCGGGACGGTGAGTCCGAATTGGCCTGCCAGGTGAGGGGGTTCGACGTTCGACGTGGTCCCTGAGATCTGAAGAAGTCAGATGTCAGCACTCCGTTGGCTGATTCCGTCTTCTAATAAGTATAAGACATTGCTGAATCTGAGATTGGGGCAAGTGCTTACCATATGTTACCATAAACTATATACGGTATACCATTTCAACTAATTACCATACACTTCGAAAATCATAGGCCCTCGAAATCCCTCGAATCAGTTAAGAAGAACGATGGGCTTCCCTGAACATTCTTTGCTGGGTTCCGTTTTCTTTCCACCTGCGAGGCCAGGGGTTTGAGTCCACCGATCCACTTATGTATAAGCAGAACAAGAGGCGTGCCAACCTGGTCAGTCTGTTTGGGGCTAGAGACGTCATGGAAACGTCAAATGTCTTCCAACCCAAACCTATACCCTAGAAGTCCAAAGACCATCTTTGGCACCGAAGTTTCCAGGCGATTCCTGGACTCGGATCACCTAGTGCCTATAGTGCCTAGTTAGACCATTTAAAGCATGGTCGACTGGAGGGATCTACGTCCCCTTTCAGCTTGGCCCTTCAGCTTTTTCCCCCCGCATCTCCACACCGACCTCAGCTGCATCCCACTCGCATCCGCGCCATTCCCCAGCCGCTCCCTGCCGCAGGTCGATGCGTCGATCTTGGTGGCCTGGGTGGGCAACTTGGCGGCGAAGATCTCCTTGGCGGCCTCCAACTGCGCCTTGACGCTCAACGTGGACTCCGTCTGCGCGGCAGGCGGACCACGGAGAGCGGAGCCGCGGAGCGGACCGTGCGGGCTGGGTGTGGCGGCTGCAATGTGGGGGGGGGGCTGGGTGTGGGAGACTCCATGGAGGTTCTATAGGTTTTGGGTTTTGGCGTTTTTGCAGTGAAGTTCAGAGGGGTTTTTTCGAATGAGCTTTTCTGAGGTGCTAATGAGGTCCGTCCGCACTGAGTGCATGGTGGTTGTCAGTTGATAGGATTGATAGGATTGATAGGTCCTTAGGTCCTCTAGGAAGACTGAATACTCCGTGCACTTTCCCCTTCTGGGAGCTGTTGCTTCATGTTGCTTCTAGCTTCATGTTGCTTCACTCCTTCTGGGAGCTTCATACTTGCAAAGTCTTCCTCCGTACCTGTGCGACCTGCTTGGCCTGTTTCTTCGTCGCTGCTGGTCGGACGCCCACGCCGCGGTGCTGTTCACCCTTCCACAACCCACTCGAAGACGGGCATCGAAGATGAGATTTGGTGATCGCCCTGACCGTTTTCCCCCACCAAAACCAAGGAGGCCTTCACCGGCCAAAAACCACATGCTATTTCCTGGGGAACACCAGGTGGGGGTCGAACGATGGGCACCGATGTCCACGGCCGAAGGGCCGACAAAGACCTGACACCTGTAGTAAAGGCCATATGTTTGGATGGTTGACACTTCCCTCATGCCATGACTCAAAGGTACTGCCAAATGGTTTTACGCTTTACTGCCTTTCATGGTGATCGGGCAGCCGATCCCTCGGAACATCAAGGAACACCATTTTTGAACTGTTCATCGCGAACATGACGTTGCTTCAGAAGTGAGGGCTCAAAGCAATCGCCACACGCATCAACACAGCCCCCGACCCCACCTGCAGGTGCCGAAACACCGGCACCCGCGAAGCAACATCATGCCTGTAGCAATCACCACAAGGCTTGCGCCGGCCAAACAAAAGCCAGGGCCAGCACCTGCTTTTGTTATCTTTTGTCAACTTCAATTCCAACAAAAAGATCTGCCCAGACGCTCCAAACAGACCAGAAGGTCCCTCAAGTCCATGGGGATTTGAGGGTCCGGACCCCTCCATATGAGGGTGCGGCCCCTAGTTAGGAGGGTCCAAGGTCGCGTCTGGGTACCTCATTTGAGGTCTTTTTCTTTCACACTGAGACGGACACGTCACATGGAAGTGGAACACCTCCTGTTTGTAACGTCTTTCAAGAACCATGCCATCCACTTCCATTGTCATGTCGTCAGAGTGTCAAACAAGAACACGGACGTCCACGATGGTATAGTGGACCATCACTGACCGATTCCGCTTCGCCGCGAAGCGTTCGCGATCGCGACCGTGCCATGGCAAAAAAAAGAAGACAGCAGCTGGAACCACTGTAGTGTCACTCTTTATGTGAGAACCACACACACCGAAGTGGCGGCAGTGCGAACCTCTGCAGGGTGCTACCTCGTTTCTGCTCGCGCCAGGCGTGACGGGCGTGGTCTCCGCCTTCGGCGAGATCTCCGCCGGTGCGGAAGGGAGGGGGACGTCGTCGTCGGCGCCGGCGGCCGTTCCCGGGACGGCTGGCGGAAGGGATCGATGCGCAGAGGGGTTCAGGTCTTGGAGCGAAGGTGCCTGGAATGTCAGGAGGGTTTTGGGGATCACTGGAGGAAGAGGATGTTCGGAAGCTTCTGCTCTGGTGGGTCACACTGGTCATTGCCACCCATGAGGTGGTGCTGGTCACACCTGCGCTGACGACGAATGGAGACTCGCCCAACGTCGTACCGCAAAAAACACCGAAGACAATGGATGAAGCCGTCGTGGCGAATGGAAGACACGACCGTTTGGCCGCTGCCCAGTCGGTTGAGATACCACGGTGCGTGAGACCAAACCTGAAGGGAAGCCCTGGAGGCCGTCTTGGAAAACAGGGTGTGACCAGGAGAACTGGCACAGGAGAACTGGTGCATGAGCAGTATGACTCAAGTCCCTGCTTAGCAAGTATGGACACTGCTGGATGTGGAAGACCATCGTCCTAAAAAACCAGGGTGTGGTTTTCATGGTCCTTCAGCGGTTTTTTCCTCGCCAGTTCCTCGTTCCCGCCCGGGACGAAAAGAGGGTTTTCGCGGCTCGGATGGACGCCACGTGCTAGGCGCATGCTTGGGTGCCGTGACTTGTTCACCGACCCCTCCAGCCTTGACCACCACCAAGATCAGTGCCTGGGAGGACCAGGACAGATGCGGACAGAGTGTAGGGTGACCTACAGGAGGATTGATCCAGTATCGAATTGTCCGAATTGTTTTTTTGTTCCCAAGATGTTGAAGGTCCAGAGTGATGGATGATGTGGAGATGGTTGGATCGCTAGTACAATTTGGCAAGCCTTGAAAGAGACACAGGTAAATTTGGTCGGCACGAATCAATAGACTCTCCTGCAAGTCTTTTCGATGCATCACCCTCTGTAGACCGATCTCTTGGGAGGTTTTACTACTACTACTACTACTACTACTGCTACTACTACTACTACTAGTACTAGTACTAGTACTAGTACTAGTACTACTACTACTACTACCACCACTACTACTACTACTACTACTAGTACTAGTACTAGTACTAGTACTATAGTACTACTACTACTACCACCACCACTAATACTACTACTACTACTACTATTACTACTACTACTACCACCACTACTACCACTACTACCACTACTACCACTACTACCACTACTACCACTACTACCACCTACGGCCTACGACCTACTACCTACTAACTACTAACTACTAACTACTAACTACCAACTACCAACTACCAACTACTAATTACCAACTACTAACTACTAACTACTACTAACTACTACTTACTACTACTTACTACTACTTACTATTACTTACTACTACTACTACTACTACTACTACTACTACTCCTACTCCTACTCCTGCTACTGCTACTGCTACTGCTACTGCTACTGCTACTGCTACTGCTACTGCTACTGCACTGCCACTGCTACTGCTACTGCTACTGCTACTGCTACTGCTACTGCTACTGCTACTGCTACTGCTATTGCTCCTGCTGCTACTGCTACTGCTACTGCTACTACTACTATTGGTACTGGTACTGGTACTGGTACTGGTACCGGACAGGGAACCAAAATCGGTGACATGATGTTTGATGCTAGATGACGCGAGTATGTAGACGCTTTTGGTGGTTCTGTTCCTTCTACATTGAAAGGGTCATGGTTTTGTAGATGGCCCCGAAAGCAGGATGATCTATATATATATATAAGGGAGTGTATGATTTCAGGATATTCAAGTGCCATAAAAGTAATTTCTGTTTTTCCGCTTCCATGACTATTCTCCACTTCCATCTATATTTCAGGTGTATGATTTCAGGGCCTGTGATGCCCTTCATGCCCGCGCCGCACCGAGCGGCCGCCTGACCCATTCAGATCCCAAGGGCCCGGTACCATGCCGCAGTTTTGGTAGGTGCTTCAGAATGGTTGGAACCGTAGACCAAAGGATACCAAACGTTAAAACCTTTTGTTTTTTTCTGGAGAAGTGGTGTTCCTGGAGCTCCTTGTGTTCTTCTTTTGGGGGGGCCCGCCTTCGCTTCGCTCAATCTCACCGGACCGCCTCTTTCGATTCGTTCGGGAGCAACGCGCGGTGTCCGCGGCCTCTAGGTGTCCTGGGTGACCAGACGGTGCGCGGTGCTGCACCGGGACGACGTCTGTTGATCGGCGAGGGAACCATCGGCAACGGCGTGCAGTGCGGCATCGACGTGGGCCGCTTGGGTGGAGACGTGAGACGTTGTGAGACGTGAACTGTGCGGAACGTGACGGAGTGGTGCAGATGGGAAGCTCCAAAAATCCAACATTGGGGGCGGAGAGTTCGACGACGACATCTGCAACATGTATAAGTTCGCTGTTCTATTTATTTCTATTATCTTTTAAGTATGTTCCTTTGTGCCAATAAGGTTTGGTTGGAGGTTGGTGTTTATATTTTTTGTTGTTTTGACACAACAAGCCGTGTGTGACCCACCATGGGTGCACGACATGCGCGCATGACCCATGCGTGGTGGGTTTTGGATGGTTCTGGTGTGCAGTTTCTGGGCCTTCCTTTGAAGCAGAAAGCATGGTTTGCAGGCATATGATAACACAAAGGGTATCGTTTTATATGAACTCAAGTAATTGTGGACTTGTTATGACAGGACACTCGGACCAATCGAATGTTTTCATCGTTGGCCTTTTGCACCTTTGCGACCGAAAACAGTTCTAGTTCAACAATAATTCAAGGTGTCTATCAGAAAGACTATCATAACATCAAAATGATCACATTTCTTTGTAAGTCAATTCATAACATATGTTTATTTGTTTTTTCAGTAGAAAAAGGACTCTTTCAATCCTTGAAACCAGGCATGGTGGCCGCCAACATCGCGAACATGGGACTTGCAGCTTGGAGGGACATGGGTCATGGGACTTGCAGCTTTCGTGTCAAACGAAAGGTGACCAAGGCCTCGTTGGTGGACCGACCAAGGCCTCGTAGAGCCTCGTAAGGCCTGCTGATGGTGCTAGCCGGGGTCCAAGTTGGTGAGTGGCTTTTCCTTGAAAAATACGGCCTTTCGACAGGAAGGCCCCGTACGGAGAGGTCGCAATAATATGACCAAGGAAAAACACACGCATCTTTGCAAATCCCTGACTGTGCTAGCAAGACAACTGACTGTGCTAGCTGGGATTTATACCAGGACCATCCTGTCTGGGTGTCTGAAGATCCCGGATAGTAGTGCAGGGTAGTCCAGCCAGGACACCCAGATGGTCGGATGGTCCAGGTTTTCAATGGTACCCCCAAAAACCGGTGGACTGCTTTCAGTCCTTCTGGCTCACACCTAACCGGGTCCGGTGCTTCACCACCACCTGCCCGAGGCCATCAACAAGGCCGTCAACGTGAACCGCTGCGGGAAGTTCGCCACGGAGACGCTTGTTCGTCTTGGTTTTTGCGGCGGAAGGTCTCGGATTCGACTGAGGCTTTTTGGATTGTTTTGGACCTTTCTCCCAATGTCCGATCGCACAGCTCGCGGAAACACGCAGGTCGAAGAGGCTTCGATGGACGACCGCCGGTGAAGTCAGCTCATATGTTGGTCGTCGTGACCGTGGTGGTTTAGCACGAAAAAAGAACACGTCGATCCCACCCAACACCTGCAGTTCCATGTCCCAACACCAGCAGTTACATTTCCCTTCCAGTACCCAGACCCGACCTGTCTGAGACTGCGATATATACATATATGCCGTCCCAGAAAGACCCCCCTGGTACCACCCCGATCGGCCATTTTTCAGCAGGACCCGCCTGGCAGTCCCAGACGTGTCGTGTCTGGGGTAGGCATGAACCCAATTGGGGGTCGCTCCGGTCCGTCCCGCTCCCCAGACGAACGTCATTCTTTTCCACCACGCCATGCGAGCGTTGGCGCCCTTCGTCTGCTCGACGAAACGACGGAGTCTGCGCCACGCCATGGGAGCTCGGTTCGGTCTCCCGGACATCGGCGGTTTTGGACCTTACTAGTAGTAACAGGTGCCTTACTAGTAGTAACAAGAAGCTACTAGGAACAAGTGCATCGCTTCTAGTAACAAGCCTGGTGGGTTCGGTTTGGAACATCGATCACTCTATCCCAGACGCGGCACGCCAGGGACTGCCAGGGGGGTCCTGCCGATCAGGTGAGGTGGGGGCAGGGGGGGTCAATGGGGCGGCATATACTGGCATATACCAGGACCCTCTAAGGGGTGTCCAATGGACTACCCCACACTACCTATAGGCTTCCATTGGGCACCCCTTAGAGGGTCCTGGTACATGATACATGGGGTGTCATTCTATTACACACCGATCTGCCTGCAAACCCACCCACGACGGAGGATGTTGCCATCAGCCCAGGAAGCAGCCTCTGAACGTCCTCAAGGGCATCCCCGATGCCTTGTGCACCGTGGACATTGCGGGAGCTGTGGCTTACATCAGTCAGGTCGTCTCTTGGACCTAACGTCGCAGGATGGAGGGACGCGCACGCGACGCGCATGCGACACAACTGGATGGAGCGGACCAAGGTGGTCTCTGACACCCGAACACTCCAGTTTCATCCAGTTTTATGAACTTGTCGAAGTAGGTTAGGGCTTTCCCAGATGGATTGCTTTGATGGCATGCGGCTTCGCAGGTCAAGCTGGGCTTTGTTTCCTTACATCATTCGGGGAACATCCGACCAAAAAGCAGCACATGTCCCAACCACCGCCCCATGGATCACTGGCCACCGGCGGGAGGTGGAGACCGGAGACGCGCGGCGCCGCTTAGAAGCGGCGATGATGCGATGACGCGAACTCGCTCGGAACGTGCATGATGAGGTGACCTTCATCAACCTCATCGTGGTGCACTGCCAGGTGGAGTTTGAGAGCTGGGGTGGGAGATGGTGGGCGCAGAGAGATGGTGGACTGACTTCCAGAGCTGACCGAAGCACGTAATGGATTTTGTTCGGAAGTGTTTGGAAGCTATTCGAAGATGAGGACTTTTCTTGTTGGATGCCTTTAGCAGCTCCATTGCAAGGACATCCTGTGTCCTCCTCTTCTTCCGGGTTGTTGGAGGCTTGCCCCACCGACTTCGGTGGCTGCGTCAATGTCGCCCCGCGCCTTACGACCGTCCAGGACTTCTTGGACGTGAACGCCTTGTGCGCCGGCTCCATCGCCGCCATCACCACCGGCGCCTCGGCCATCGCCGCCTACAGCGGCGCGCTGCACGCGGCCTGCCGCTACAACGGGCTCCTGAAGCAGCCGACGCCCGGTGGAGCGAAGGGCTTTCTGGGTGACAGAGTGATGTGGGTATTAAAATCAGGCAACGACCCAACCCATGGCTTCGGAATCTCCTGGCTTAAACATTTCACATCCATCATGAACACGTTGGTCAAACCGTCCTCCTCCTCAAAACCGACCCACCGGCGTTGTCCAGAACACCGTCTCCAACGGTCCACCGACCCAACGGGTGACGTGACGAGAGACGAGACGTGAACGTGACCACCCACTGGGCCGTCCGGGCCGCGCTTCGGAGCGTTTTGGGGATCGCGTTTCGTCTGACGAAACTTCCGGCCGATCCCAGGAAGGCCGTGGCGAAGATCAACGAGCTTTGGACGTTGCCCGATCCTCTCCACCGCCGCCTTGAGGAGACGGAGGCAGATGAGCCCACGCCTGCCTTGGAGGAGGGGGAGAAGCGAACAAACCTGGAAGGGAGGGAGCTGGTGGGGTGGAAGGCCATGACTCCTGTGAGGGAAATGAACCCCAAGCAAACCGCGATGTGTGTCAGGTTCCAGGGTTCTCACCACTCTCTCAGAATCCGTACAGATCCGGATGATGAAAAAGTGTCACCTACCTGCACTACCAACATGGACCTCCAGCAAGGACACCCAGACAGGATGATCCTGACTCCTGACAGTTGTTTTTTTGATGTGGTTGCATTGTAGTAGCCTTCTCAAGGACGTCTTAATTGCCACAGACCTGTAGATGCAGGCCTCAACATCCTTCCATTGCATTCACCGCTGTTCTTGGGCAAGTTGCAAGATGGCAAGAACATTCTAGATTCTGGATGGGATCCCAAAGTGACAAACCACGCCAAAAGACACGCCACGCCATCTTGAGCAGCTGAACTGAGTCAGGAGAGCCTGAAGACCATCCGTGAGACTCGCAAGAACTTGGATCAACACTTGGCCCATTTGGGGATGAACTTCTCCTCCTTCAACACCTACAGCCAGGCCTGGACAGAGCATGAGGACGGACACACATGCAACGAGGAGACCTGGATCTTCCAACTGTGGAGACATGTTTTAGTCTGCCTTTTCATCCGTACAAAATCCGCCAAAAGACAGAACTTTGGCATAGTTGGAAGGGCATATCTCATCCTTCTCGTCTCTGGACCCATGGGATTCTCCGATGCATCCGGGGATCGGCTTGATTTTGGGGTGGACGAGTTGGACAGATGGGCACATGAGTCGCAGTTGGTTGGACCGGACCTGGGTTGAAGGGGATGGGATGATGGAGGGCCCTTTCAGGGGAGGCGCTAGCTAGGCCACCTTGTTTTCATCCGCTTGGGAGGGGGTGCCTTTCCCTTGATTCGTGAAGCAGTTGTTCCCATCCTGGTCCGCACGGGACGGCACGTGAGGCGGGACGGGTGATGGGTTGCCTTCAAGGATGTCGAACGGCACCGCGGAGAAAAAGCCAGCTGCAAAAGTGATCAATGCGTAATTTGACCACTCTGATCTCATTTTTTTGTGGTTTTCAGAATTGTGGGTGTTGCTGTTCACGGGCCAGCCGTTCTGAAGACTGAAGAAAAAGGAAAAAGACAGCCCATGCACTCCAAAAAAAGGCGGAACTGTTGACTGCGCCCCCTTCCAAACCCCTCGCGTGGACTGGGGGCCATGATCACATCCAACCCAAACCCGTGAGGCCGACAAAGAGACCTTGCTGAACCTGATGGAAGGCGGGATGGAGAAGCCTCGTGCCGCCTGGCCCTTTCAGGAGTGCTAAGGGAGCCGAAGATCGCTTCCTTAGGCGCTGAGCTGAGTGCTGCGCTGCGTTCGTACGAACCGGGGGAGAGTGGACTCCCGTGACCGGTGTCGGGGGTGGAGAACTGGCTCAGGGCCACTGAGGGGCCACTGGACAAGCGTATTTGGGGACGGCGTTGGAAGTTCGAGATAGGCGGCCAAGGGTCTGCATGACATGGACATGGCATGGACATGGCATGAATGGCTGAGGACTGCAAAGGCAAACATATGGTCAGCATCGCTCATGTAGGGGGTCAAAGCCCAATATTGAGACACCAATGCAATATCTCTCTCGCGATCAAGACATTGACAGGTTGACTAGTCCAGGGTTTTGGCCAATAGTGAACATCAATTCTGAATATAAGACGCACTTGTTCTTCGTCAAAGTTCTCCACTCCCACGCAGCCCTGCTCCCAACAGTGCTGGCATAGAAATTTCTACAATTCATGGCGGCCAATGAACCTGCCATCGTCCTCAGGATGAAAGTGCATTTTGGCACCCAAACATCTCAAGCACATCAACTTTAAGTTGATGAGTCCACTCTGATGTTCTTCTCCGCAAGGTCCTGAGGTGTCACAGGGAGGAACGAATCTGTGTGGCAATGTCCATTCAATTCACCCTCACCCGTGACTCACGAATCTTTTGCGCATGGCTGATGTGGGAAGTCGTCAGATTCTCCATGTAGGTATATGAATCTCACCCACATTCATGGTAAGCGTCATAGATCTTATCGTAGTAGGGTCATGGCTGATTTTTCTTGGAGGGTTTATGGTAGTCAGGTTCTCCATTCATGGCAGACAAACCCTCCAAGATCTTGGGTCTTTTCTGGCAAGATCTTGGGCACTGTTCTAGTCCAGCCCCTCCTGAGGTCTCCTCTAGTACACTTCCAGTGTTGGGGAAAGGCTGTTCTGAAGGTTTTCAGCTCCGAATCTGGAGGGCTTAAGACATGACGAGCTGTATACCAATTGCGAGGTGTAGAAACACACAGCTCGTCTTGTCGCCCATCCGGGTCCCACGCCAACGACGACGAGACCAGGCCTGGTCGCTCGAACTGGCATCAGATGGTTCGAGCCAACTGGCCGAGAGCAGGCCTGGAGGAGACCTCAGGTGGTCTCCTCTCTATCGTTCCAGGTCGACTGAAACCCGGGTGGTGCGTTGGTTTCGGGTTTCGGGTTGAGCCAGATCCACCACGGTGGAGTCAGAAGGACATATGTTGTTTCACTCGTTTTTTTGGGTGAAGTGTTAATTGGGTATCACGGTAGGGCAGGTTTATCTATAGAATCGAATGGGTGCTTGGCTTCGAAGTCCTGCTCAATGTTCCGGTCATGGCTTCAAAAGAGACCCCTGAAGGTTGTGGTTTCGACATTGGATGAAGTGGGATAATTTTTTGCAGAAGGCTGAAGGCTGTTCATCTATTTTGTAAAAAAACAATCCTGACCCCCGTCCCCTGCAGCAGTCCATTGCAACCGGAATGCGGCGGCACCTGATGCCGAAGGTTTCGTTTTGGGACGCGGCAGAACGCGGACGCCGAAGCGGCGGCGGCACCTGCTCTTCTTCGGGCAAATCCCATGATGCTGCTTCCGCACGCCTTTGTGCAGACTAGGGAGGCGAAACGCCCGGCATTATGGCCGGTGGGTGCCCGAAAGAGACAGTGCTGGCTGGAGCATCACACCTGGAAATGGTCACTATATATAGAGTCCTATCCAGCGCAAGACTTCTGCCATTGGGCGATTCCAACATTAGCTTACTTGAGATCCTTTCCAACGCAGTTGTTTGATGAAGAGCCGCGTCCCTTACAGAACTGGCTAGCTCTGCGCATTTGAGACCAGTGCTGTGGCCAATTGGAAGACTGGATTTTGCCCATTCAACCGGCCGCCGGAGAAAAAGAGACGCTCGTGGGTGGGGTATGGCATAAATACAATGTATAAGGTGACGAGTATCTCCTGATCTATACCGCAGACACTCCATGTATGCCATATATGCCGAGAAACGGCCGGGGTTGGTGCCAGAGGGGTCTGTCTGGGTGAGTTTTTTGGATCCCATTCCTATACAAGCAAACCTCCCCCACACCCACACACACACACAAACGCACTTATGAAGATCCTCTGTGGCATCTAGACCCTTGACTTGACGGCTTCTTTCGCGCCGACGCAGCCGTGGCCCAGGCCTCTCAAGGCGCCGGGGGAAACCCTTTCGGCAGGGAACCGGGAACGCTGGCCAGCGCCCAAACGAGAAAGAATGGACCAGAATGGACATCAGACATGAAGGAACCTAAATAGCGATGGCCTCCAACCTAAGAGCGATGACCTACTAGAGGATTTTTCTGACTTAACCCTGACAGTCTAGTCATCCTGTGAGCTTCACTATTTTTACCACCATCCGTTCGAGGTCTCCCCTATACAACTTGTGGGCTTCCATCGGACACCCAGGCAGGATGGTCCTGGAATGTGTGGCTATGATTCTTCCTTTCAACCACCCGCACACATCCCAATTCCATGACAGTTCGTGTGGATGAATGCTTCTTTCCATGGTCCTCATATGTCCTGGTACACTCCCTGAAATCATCATGGTTACGTGGCATGGCATGGCATGGCCCAGGGACCCAAAGGTATTTGGGGTCCGAGGCCGCCAGTTCCAGGTTTCCCAGGGACCCATATGAGACCCATGAGTTCAGCGTTTTCCCCGGTCGGTCGAGTTCTCCTTCCAGGCCGCCTCCCCGAGGCAGGGGCCCCGATCGGCCCCGAAGAGACGTGAGGTTTGTGTGTCAAAGCCACCTGGGTGGCCCGAAAAAACACCTGGAGATTGAAGAGGTGCAATTCGCTGCGACCCCTGGTGGCGGTCATGATATTTTTGAGACCAAGCGATAGCACACGGATAGCCCTGCTGGGGATGTATCTTGGGCTTTGAGATCTACATTTGATACCTTGATTTTCGACTCGGGGTGCTGGTATCTTCGAGTGTGATGCGTGATGCCTCCAAATCCTTTGGAAGTTCAAAGGGAAGTGAGTTGGAGTAACGAGTAGACTTGAATTGGTGGCAAACGATTTCACTGTGTTTTACAAAGACCACTAATTCAAAAACACCCTCTTTCCTCTCTTATCCTGAGCCTCGCGCCATCCACGTTGTTGGTCATTGTACCCTCCCTGCAATAAAGATGGAAGTGGAAAACCACCCAGTTTGGTCTTCGGAACCATCATCTTCCCGGCCGCGTCATCCACGGTAACCATGGGATGATTTCAGGGAGAATACTCCCCTGCAGATGATCGTCGACTCTCCAAACCACTGGGTTGTAGAGAAACATGGTCTTCCACAGGTCATTTTCAGGGTCCGTCCAATGCGTTTGCAGGCGGGGTAAGCTCCGACTGTGTAGACCGTCCGCTGGGTAGAAAAGGTCCTGAAAGCATGTGGCTACCTTCTGGTATGACCCGGTTGGGCCAAGGTTGGGTCGTTCCAGGTCGGTTTCCCCGTGTTTCT